AATATATTGTATATGTTTATATTTTTGTCTGTGTAAAATGTAAAAGAAAAATCATAATAACACACAGATACATTTGTGCTATATACCTTTTATTATTCATCATTACTGATTTTAAAAACCCAAACATGATCAACAATACAGTTAGAATTCATTTCAATACATTTTAAAAGTGTTTTATTCGAAGTCCCGCCTCTAAGAATTTAAAATACATGATCAAATATAATCTTATAAGACAAACAGCAATATAAATGTGGATAAACAATGAACCAGCGGGACATTCTGACCTACTGGTCTGAAATTATACAAACATCTGTTCACTTTATTTCACTTACATTCATTTTCATTAACAAATATGTTTAATTGTTCAGTAGATAATACATGATCTAATATCATCTCATTATACAAGTACATGATCATTATGTATGAAAAACAAAGAACATGGACAGTCTCACATATTGGTCCAAATCTGTATTTCTAAGTCATGATAAAATCATCAAAGTCCCCGTCTGACCTGTAACTTGGCCTTCCCCTGCTTGTCTCCATGGAGATATAATTAGTTTAATGCTATACCCTGGGACATTCTAAGCAATGCAATCACATTTTCACTGAGACAAGCAGGTGAGGGACCCCCCACCAGAAAAGTTGCCCAGTGCACCTTTAAGTGAAAGTGAATTGATTAGAAAAATCAAACTAAAATGAAAAGTCAGAGTCTGTTTACAAAATAAACTAAAAAATAAGAGAAATCTAACAGTTTAATCTGTGAGATTGTTTGTGTGAAAAATAACTCTTATCTTCAGTTCATTAGCTCCTCGTCTCGTTACTTTTGTCCTATTTGTTCCAGCACAACTTTCATCTGATTCAGTACACTGTCAGTTCTGATGACAGATTGTGAGAACAGTTTCTCGGAGCTGATCTGTGTGAAAGAGTGAAGGAGAGCGTCAGTGTCTAAGTCATAAAAACTCACTTCATGTTTGTCACAATCAAGAAGGACTCTGATCCTTCGAGGACGTGGTGTTAGTTTGAGATTAACACTGTCTTCGTCATTGTTGTGTGTTTTATATTTGCCTTTAGACAAACTTATAGCCCATCCATCACCCACATCTTCTCCACTATCACCATGATCACTGCCATCACCATCATCATTGGCCTCATTCTCACTGTCGTTGTTGCTGTCGCTGTCGTCACTGTCACTGTCACTGTCACAGTCACTCTCATCTAAATCAGGCATTACATTTCTGGTGGCAACTCCAGTTACCCAGCTGTCACTGTCTCCCACTTCTACAATCCAGCTGTGAGAGCCTGAACTGTAACCATCAGAGCAAACACCTAAGGCACTGTTCGTTTTGTTTTTTTTCAGTGTCCAACTGGTCACATCGTCCGGCATGATTTCATTTCCGACAGTGTTTAGATCCAGAACAACAGGAGAATAGTGCACCATCGTCTTCATGCTGCTCCAGATGTGGAAGGCCAGGTTGCCCAGATGTTTGGCCTGGTCTATCAAAGTTCCTGGGCCCAGCTGCGGTTCGTCCAGCAGGGGGCAGCGCTGCACTCTCTCCACTGCAGCCTTGTATTGGAGCAGGAAGGAGACGTCTGCGGCTCTCAGCTGCTCCTCTGTGGCTCTGATGGTTTCTGACAGAGCTTCTATCTCTCTGCTCACAGCCTCCATCTTGTCCTTCATCTTCTGAATCTTCTGCTCCTCTTCCTCCCTCAGAGCCTTCAGCCGGGCCTCCTCTTCCTCCTCCAGAAACTGGTGCATCTTCTTAAACTCATCACAGATCTGCTTCTGTGCATCCTGAGCCTGATCCTTTATACGCTCTGTAATGGCCAAAAGATTGTTTTGAACGTCCTTAGTCTTCTGTAGGTGTTCCTTCAGAGGCAGCAGGGACTGGTCCAGCTCCTGTCTGAGCTCCTGTGCTGTTTCTACTATGGGCCTAAAGCGGTGGTCTTCATGAACTTTAGAGTCTCGGCACACCAGGCAGGCAGGCTGCTGGTCAGTCAGACAGAAGAGCCGAAGTTTCTCTGAGTGCAGTGGACACACATGTTCTTCTGGAGCCTTGTTCTCTCCCTGCTGTAGATAGGCCTCACACAAGTTCCTCAAAGCCAGGTTCTGTGGAGGATCGCTCCTGGAGGATCTTCTCTTACAAACAGGACACTCCTTTGTGGGCTTCTCTCTCCACCAGCTCTTCAGACAGAGCTCACAGACACTGTGGCTGCAGGACAAAAGCACAGGCCTCTTATAGATCTCCTGACAGATCGGACAGGACAGCTCCTCCTCTGATCGTGAAGACATTGTGAACGTCAAACCTGAAGCACACACATAATAACACACTTATTGTTCTGTCTCATGCACTCGTGTGCTGGAGCTGCAACGTCAAAGTTAAACTTACCTCAGCTGATGGCAGAGAGAGAAGTCTGTGCTGTTTGGCTCCCAGTGGAAAACTAAAGAGAAAGTAAAATGTTCTTGATAAAATAAAGGTTTATGGGTCACATTTGCTCAGCTTTACACTGATATGACTTGGTTTAGTGGAGTTTGGACTTGATAAGATAAGAATAAACATATGTGTATGTACGTGTGTGTGTGTGTGTGTGTGTGTGTGTGTGTGTGTGTGTGTGTGTGTGTGTGTGTGTGTGTGTGTGTCCTGGCATGTTTATGATCATGATGATTGATGATTGTTAAATCACCTTTCTGAAGAACCCGAGGCCTCTCATTATCTTATATATTTTTAGCAACTTGCAGAAATGGAACCAATAAACCAGAGTAAAAATATTTCTTCAAAAGTACATGGATACGATCATATTTTAAGAGCAAACATTCATGTCCTCCTCCTGCACTGTTTTCTGATGATTATGTGTATGTCTCCTAAAAAGATGTAAAAATAAGCAGACATCAAAACGACGCAATTTTTTTATTTCTGTATTTTTCTCTCTCTTGTACAGTTCATGAATTTGGGACTTCTATCATTTTATTTTAATTATTCACCAATTTATAATGACTTTCTTTTTCTGTTATTCAGCTTCTGCAAATGAAATTTTCTGTTAATCGGTAAAACATCTGAATCTCAAAAAGTAGAACAGGTAGAAACTTCAAATAACTTATCAAGTAAAAAAAAAAAAAAAAAAAAAAAAAAAAGCATGTAAGATGTTTAGTCATTTTCAGTTTTGGAAGATAAGTCATTATAACCAAAATGAACAGCTGAAGGCAGGAAGAGATTATTTGACGTTCTGTCAGTGTAAAAAATGATTAGAAATTCTGTCCACTCCTGCTGTGATCCTGTGAGGCTCTGACGCTCTGGACAGATCCAGTTCTGCAGCTGTCCCAACTGTGGAAAATACTTTTGATTCTCTTCCTGTGTGACGGGTTTTTATTCTAGGGTAATGACACATAACATACATAATAGTGAAACAACAAAGAAAAGGTCATGGGCCCAGCTGTGGTTCCTCCAGAGGAAAAAGGAGAGAGAAAAGAGAAGTGGATCAGCAGCAGGGACAGCCAAAAAGTGGCGGTTCTCTGGGGTAGTGTCTTTCCTCGACCCCTTCATTTCCCCTCACAAGACGAGCGGGAACAGGCAGCGGGTCGAGGAAGAGCAGACCTCAGGGGACCTCGAAAAGACCGAAGAAGCAGCAGCAGGACTAACAGATTCCCGAGGTTTGTTGTTGAGTGCAGTCTAATACACAGGAAAATGATGTACATAACAATCTGTCTGCTATGTTGTAATATATTAATAATAATAATAATGACAATAAATGAGCAATGATCAGATATGGTTCGTAATGCTTTATTTATTTTGTTTATGAATATACAAGAGAAACAATTTTCTCCAAATAAAAAAAAAATACAAGTCCAAAAAGTTGACACTGTCCAACATCTTAAAATGAATCTACACATGAATATATTAAAAACATATTGGATTATTTTAGATTTCTGTTCAGATGAAAACTGTTTATAACCAATTTAATTTCAGATCCTCCGTCATGAACATAAGAAGAACTGAGGAGTCAGACCAGAGTCACGTCTTCAGGCTCAATCTTGATTTTGTATTTGTTTGTGGAGCCAAAATATGGGAAGAGTTTGTTGGGACTGATGTGTGTGAAAGAGTGAATGTGAGTGTTGGCGTCAGCGTCATAGAAGCTCACGTCGTGTCTGTCACAGTCCAGACGCACTCGGATCCTCACGGGGTTGGACTGGAGCTGGAGAGATGTGAGGTGTTCTTCATTCTGAACAGCTGCATACTCGCCCTCTGACAAAGCCACGCTCCAGCCCTCCACGTCCTCCTCCTCCAAAGAGTCAGTCACAACTCCCACAGCCCACTCCCCGCTGTTTCCCACCTCCACGCTCCAGCTCCAAGAGCCGCAGTCGAAGCCCTCAGAGCCCAGCACCAGCGCCCAGCCTGTCTCTGTCCCTGCTGCATTTGGACCTCTTTGTTTCTCAGTAGTAAAACTGGTCAGATCGTCTGACAGGACGATTTCACTGGTGGATCTGTTTGGATCCATTATGACAGGAGAGAAGTGCACCATCGTCTTCATGCTGCTCCAGACGTTGAAGGCCAAGTTGCCCAGATGTTTGGCCTGGTCTATCAGAGCTCCTGGGCCCAGCTGCGGTTCCTCCAGCAGGGGGCAGCGCTGCACTCTCTCCACTGCAGCCTTGTACTGGAGCAGGAAGGAGACGTCTGCGGCTCTCAGCTGCTCCTCTGAGGCTCTGATGGTTTCTGACAGAGCTTCTATCTCTCTGCTCACAGCCATCCATCTTGTCCTTCATCTTCTGAATCTTCTGCTCGTCTTCCTCCGTCAGAGCCTTCAGCCGGGCCTCCTCTTCCTCCTCCAGAAACTGGTGCATCTTGTTGAACTGATCCTGGATCTGTCTCTTTGTCTGATGAGACTGTTTTTTAACACAATCAGCAATGACCAAAAGCATCTCTTGAAAGTCCTTAGCCTTCTCTAACTCTTCCTTCAGAGGCAGCAGGGACTGGTCCAGCTCCTGTCTGAGCTCCTGTGCTGCTTCTACTATGGGCCTAAAGCGGTGGTCTTCATGATCTTCAGAGTCTCCACACTCCACACAGACAGGCTGCAGGTCAGACACACAGAACAGTGTCTGTGAGCGCTCACGGCCACAGACGCTGCAGGACAAAGCTACGAGATCCTCCTCAGAGACAGGACCGGACAGAGCCTCCTGCGGTGGAAAAGCCATCATTCTTCAACAAAAAAATAAAATAAAAAATGATAACAGAGTAGATAGTGTTTTCACGGAGCTCTCTCTGCCTGAGTTTGTTCACTTCTGTTTCTGAAGCCGCTGAGGTGAGCCTTATAAACGTGACCTGTGGAGCAACATTCCTCACAAGTTATTTGTTTAATTATGCAGATGCAAATCATAACAAAACTATCCTGCTGAGAACACTGCCCTTCTTCCTTAATGTGGACGTCCAGTAACTGAACTGTGCACTTGTCATATCCTTCTTCCTTTATGGGAACCTGTTCAAATCAAATATACTCATAACAATATGAGAAAACATTTTTGTTTACATCCGGCTTTTCCGCACGTGTGCAGTGGCTGGTTGGCACAAAGTCAGTGGGGCCACTCGGTTGTCATGAGATAACTCGTCTTATTTTGAAGTAGGTTTTACATTTAATTGTTTTGACGTGACTTCATCATCTTCATCATCACTGAATGTTTTTTTTTTTTTTTTTATTTATTTATTTTGCACATATAACATGACAATAAAAAGAAACACACTAGATAAAAAGTAGGTGCCGGAAGAGGCAAAAAAACCAATAGGGCTTTTATTAAAGCCTCCACCTTATGAATACATTAAAACTTTTACATTATCACTGTGCATAAAAATATTATATATATATATATATATATATATATATATATATATATATATATATATATATATATATATATATATATATATATATATATATATATATATATAATTACATTTAAACACCATGCATTAAATTCTCACTCAACGCACAAAAAACACAAAGTTTATACAGCAACACAACCTGACACAGCGCTCACAGCTCCTGTGTGGGCGCATGGGTGACGTATGCTCATGGGCGGAGCCTTGTACAGGCTCGTACTGTTAACCACAAGAAGGGTTCAAACAGGGCCCAGGAGAGATCAAGATCACTGACACATACATGACAAATAACACCAAGGGCATGGAAAATGTATTTTTTACATTTTCTACCATGTTCTAATGCAGATATGTCAAACAAATTGGGCCCACGATATTTGGCCGTGAGATCACATCAAATCAGTATTAGAGCTGCCCTCCTGCTACAGATGGACTGTAGAGACATTATTTATTTAAAATGATGTTATTATTTTTATAATTTGCTTGTTCTGGATTTAATGTTTAAGCAAAACTATTATTAAACATTTATTTTAATAAGAAAAGGTTTAACATTACACATCTTGAAAGAAGAGAAAACATGCAGATGTTGTTGAAATTTTTCAAAAAAATTTTGTTTGGCCCTCAACTTAGTCCCAGTTTTTCATTTTGGTCTCTGTGAATTTGAGTTTGACACCCCTGGTCTAATCTTTCCTCATCAAAAACCTGTATAATCTAGTGATCTCTCCTGGGCCCTGTTTAAACCCTCCTTACGGTCAGCTGTTAGCTCAGCCCACGAGCCGACGTCCCCGTGCTCCCAAACCACAAACTGTGATACCTCGATATTTTAAATATATTGAGATTGTTTTTTTAAACTTGATATGGATTCTGACATATCATATTTATCGATATAATGCTTATATTTAATTCTGATTTTGTCGCTTTGCTTGTTTGCCTTCTCTGTGTGCGCTGCCGCGTGCCCCCGCCTCCCTGATTTTGCTGCTTATGCCTCATTCACTCATCACTTCTGCCCTGAATGCCAAAAGTTGGTGTCAGTGAAAAGCTTCTAGCACCACGAAACTTTTCAACCGTTTATAGACAAAAACCATCAGCAGCACATCCTCTGTCACAGAGAGAACACTCATATTCCACTGAGTCGTGTCCTTTAGTCCGAAAGAAACTGAACCACATCAGCGACACAAGGAACAGCTGTTTATGCAAATGAGTCATGTGGTTTTAAGTTTAGTTTCTGTAAAACTTAAACACGTGCACAAAACTGCATTAAACACTTTATAATCTCACAGGCGCAGATGTGTCTCTAGAGTTGTGTTTACATGTTGTAAAGTTTAGAAATATAAAGTTTATTTATGCAGAAGATTTTAATTAATAATCTGCTGCAGTGTCACTTGCACAATAGTGTTTGGAAACGTTGGGTTTGATCTGCAGTGGATTGTGGGATTAAACCTCAGAGCTCCTGACGCTGGTGAGGAACATGGATCTGTTAAAATAAAGAACCTCCTGAACTTCTTCTGCTGAAGAATCTCATGGTTCTGGTTCTGGTTTGGATAACAGAGTTTATGCAAAGATGAGCTTGTGTTGAGTTGTTTTATTTATGAATGAAAAGTAGGAAACATGTATTATTTCTTTTACTTTATTGTTAAAATATTATTTATGTATTGAGGGATTTTTTCTCATCTTAAATGTGGCAGAAGAACTTTGTTCCTACATGAACTGAAGACCTCTTGCACTTCAGTAAAAAAAAAGACCTTGTGGAATTTGGCAGATTTCTTTTTGCAGTTTTCAGTTTTAGGGGGTTATTTTTTCCTGTACACTTATCAAGATATATATCGTATATCGACATATAACAAAATATATTGAGATATATTTTTTGATCCATATCACCCAGCCCTCTGCTCCACTGTGTTTTTAAACTCCATACACCTTCACTAGAATCATTCAGATGATTTCAGCTCCTCAGAACTAAAAGTAAAACGTAGCTGTTCACTTGAAAACTACCACTTTGTGACATCACAAGGTGGAACAGAGCATTTTGAGCTTTGGAGATGTAAACTGAAGGATCACTCAAACATGTGAATGAAACAAAACTGTTTTTGAGGAGGTAACATCTTTATAACACGACTTAAAGCAAAGAGTCCATTTTGTGTCATAGAGAAACTTTTGAGTCCATACCCACTTTACTTTTCTGGAGTGTCTAGATTTAGTTTTTTCCATTTAAATGTTCAACTCGGTACTTTTTTTTTTTTTTTTGATGAGGTGATATTTTTAGTCAGTTGCTTAATATGTTCTTTAACGCAATGGAAACAAACTCTCACTCCTGCACGTCGACTGAGAGGAAATGCTGCTGGTGCAAAGATGCTGTGGAGATTAGACGATACAGGCCGAGCGCAGAGTAAAGAAAACTTTACTCACGACTTTAATAAGGGAATCAACAAATGATGAAGAGATAAAAATATGTTATTAAAGCAAGAAACCCTCCTAAACCATCTCAGACCTGGTTTAGACCTTTGTTAGACCTGGTTTAGACCTACTTCAGACCTGGTTTAGACCTTTTTCAGACCTGGTTTAGTGTTAGACCTGGTTTAGACCTACTTCAGACCTGGTTTAGTCCTTTGTTAGACCTGGTTTAGACCTGGTTTAGACCTGTTTCAGACCTGGTTTAGACCTGCTCCCTTTAGACCTGTTAGACCTGGTTTAGTCCTTTTAGACCTTTTCAGACTGGTTTAGACCTGCTTCAGACCTGGTTTAGACCTGGTTTAGACCTGGTTTAGACCTGGTTTAGACCTGGTTTAGACCTGCTTCAGACCTGGTTTAGACCTGCTTCAGACCTGGTTTAGTCCTGGTTTAGACCTGCTTCAGACCTGGTTTAGACCTGCTTCAGACCTGGTTTAGTCCTTTGTTAGACCTGCTTCAGACCTGGTTTAGACCTGGTTTAGACCTGGTTTAGACCTGGTTTAGACCTGCTTCAGACCTGGTTTAGACCTGCTTCAGTCCTGCTTTAGACCTGTTTCAGACCTGGTTTAGTCCTTTGTTAGACCTGGTTTAGACCTGCTTCAGACCTGGTTTAGACCTACTTCAGACCTGGTTTAGTCCTGGTTTAGACCTGCTTCAGACCTGGTTTAGACCTGCTTCAGACCTGGTTTAGTCCTGGTTTAGACCTGCTTCAGACCTGGTTTAGACCTGCTTCAGACCTGGTTTAGACTTCAGACCTGGTTTAGACTTTCAGACCTGGTTTAGTCCTGGTTTAGACCTGTTTCAGACCTGGTTTAGACCTGTTTCAGACCTGGTTTAGTCCTTTGTTAGACCTGGTTTAGACCTGCTTCAGACCTGGTTTAGACCTGCTTCAGACCTGGTTTAGTCCTGGTTTAGACCTGCTTCAGACCTGGTTTAGACCTGCTTCAGACCTGGTTTAGTCCTGGTTTAGACCTGTTTCAGACCTGGTTTAGACCTGCTTCAGACCTGGTTTAGTCCTTTGTTAGACCTGGTTTAGACCTGCTTCAGACCTGGTTTAGACCTACTTCAGTCCTGGTTTAGTCCTGGTTTAGACCTGGTTTAGACCTGGTTTCAGACCTGGTTTAGTCCTTTGTCAGACCTGGTTTAGTCCTTTGTCAGACCTGGTTTAGTCCTTCGTCAGACCTGGTTTAGACCTACTTCAGTCCTGGTTTAGTTCTGGTTTAGACCTGGTTTAGACCTGTTTTCAGACCTGGTTTAGTCCTTTGTCAGACCTGGTTTAGTCCTTCGTCAGACCTGGTTTAGACCTGCTTCAGTCCTGGTTCGGTCCTGGTCCGGTTCTCGACATGATCCTCGGGGCACTTGTTCTGGTTTTGACCCTCCACAACTCGGGTAAGTGACGTTTCTTTTCCCTTTTTCTGTTTTTGTTTTCCTCTAAAGCTGCACTGTGTAACTTTTCTGGTGGAGGCTCCGTTACCTCCTCGTCTCCATGGAGATGCTATTGCTTTGCCCCAAATGCTCCACAGTGTTGCATTAAACTTATCTATCTCCATGGAGACAAGAAAAAGTGACACCACCAACCCAAGTAAAGCCGACCCTGTACACCTGTAACTGAATAAATATAAGATAGAAAAGTTTAATGCTACTGTGGAACATTTCAGGCAAAGGATTCAAATCTCCATGGGAAGAAAAAA